TCAAGCCGGCAACCCAGGCATGTGCCCTGACCAGGAATCGAACCGTGACCTGGTTCATAGGTTGATGCTCAACCACTAAGCCACACTGGCCAGGCTCATCCCCAGTTTTAAATGAAAAAAATAGGCTGGGACAGGGGAAGGCCTTGGCTCTCACTAGCCTGTTAGCAAAGCGGGAATTGGGTTTCCCATCTGTAAAATGCTTGGGAGGACTACTGTCAGGAGTTTCTAAATGAGTTCGCACATGTGAAGTGCTTAGGACAGTGCCTGCCCCTGAGTAGGCTGCATGGTCAGTTGAGCAGGTTGGGCACTGCACAGCCCCAGGGAGGATTTGTACATCTTTCCATTTCCCTAGAGAGGGTCTGGAGGAAGGGGTATCTGTGTCAAATTCACAGGCACTACAGGTGCTGAGGCAGCCCCACGTAGAATAAGAACTAAATAAATACCTGTTATTGTTCAATATCCAGCTGTGAGCTGGGCTAAGTGTGCTGAGTTTAAACAACCACCCTTGATGTCAAGACTTTTAGCATCTACCCTGTATCCCAGATAAGGAAACTTCAGGCACCGAGATTAAAATATTTGCTATAAGTGATCCAGCAGTTCATAAGCATAGGTCTGGGTCCCAGCTATTGATCTGATCAGAGAAGCTTCTGTTTGTTTACATCATGGCAGAAAATAGAGTTCCCCTGTGTCTGCACCATCCCCAGACCGTTGCCGGGGCCACCCCCACATCCTGCTCACCTGGGCCCCTTGGTGGCCTGAGGATCTCCCATGATCCCGCAGGCTCTCGGGTTTTTCCACGAGCACAGGCTCCGAGGACCGGCCCAGGGCTGGTGCTGGGGGCCCCTCGTCCACATCTGTGTGGGGCCCACCCTCACCGTCCGTGTAGCCCTCGCCGTCCGTGTAGCCCTCGCCATCTGTCTCGTAGTCGCTGTTGACGCGGCTGTCACAGCTCAGATCCGCGGAGCTGTCATTCAGGCCGCGGTGAGGGAGGTCCAGGTTGTCCTCCAGGGAGCCGTCCAGCTGTGGGCGGGTGTGGTCTGGCTGAGCCCAAACCCCCAGCCCAGGCCTCCTGGATCTCAGACCAAACCCAGACCCAGGACACCATCTTCCAACTCCAGTCTCAAACCAGGTGAGACCCTTGCCCCTCAAGTTGAGGCTTAACCCTTGACCCCTGGGTGAGTTCTGACCATTGACCCTTTGCCTGAGCCCCCAAATTTAAGTTGAGTCCCAACCCCTGAATCTACCCCCAGTTCCCACATGGAGTCTCCCAATCCCATCTGACCTCAGGGACCAGATCCAGACCCTGATCTCAGGTCAAATCTTGTCCTGGGCTATGCCCCTGAGCCCTCACCGACCCCTACACCCAAACAGGGGCTCCACACCCTGGCCGGGTACCTGGTCCTCGGCTGTCCAGATGGGCCGCATCTGCTGCTCCCGGATAATGGCCTTGAGCTCCTGGTACCAGCCGTCGCTTGTGCCTTGCAGGTGAACGGTGGCTGCGGGGAGGGGGCGTCAGTGCGGCCGAGACTCAGGCCAGACCCCCGGCCTCCCCGGGCTCACGCTTCCTTCCTACCTGTGAAGAGGTGGTCGCTGTGCTTCCACAGCTTCTGGGCTTGAGCATAGAGGCGGCGGGTGCTGCGGCGGGAGGCCGGCGCCAGCCACTGGCGCAGAGCCTTGAGGGCCGAGCGGCTCTCGGGGGCGCAGAAGACCACGATGGGGTAGTACTGCACGTAGTTGAGGCGCTCCACGGCCGAGGGTGTCACGTCTAGGAGTGCGTGCTTGTCCTGCGCAGGGCCCGTGGTGGGGGCAGTGGGAGAGGATGAGAGCGGAGAGAGAAACACACCCAGAAACAGGCCGAAGAGACAGGTGAGGAATCACAGGGAGATTAAGGGTCAGGTCAGAGCGGACCCCACCCTCGCACATCCACAGGCCAGCACGTTGGAGGTGGGTTGGTGGTAACCCAGGCCACAGCGTCTGAGGCCCGGAGCCCCCGTTGGAGTCTCTCTACCTTCCCAGGGCTGTGTGTGACTCTGGGCAGGCTCTGTCCCCCTCAAGCCCTCACGTCACAAAACCTCTGGAGGGGGCTCCATGGGAGACCACACTTGCAGGGAGTGGGGAGAGAACAGATTGGATCCTGGGCCTCAGGTTCCCCATCCATGAAATGGGACCCTGCTTACCTTCTCCGCGATCACCCGCACGGTGTCCAGTTTGATGATCTTAGACGGCCTGTCAGTCCTCAACACGCTCTCTGTGGAGTGGAGAGGCAACGGCAGCTTCAATAGGGTAGTTCCCTAGCCCCACAAATTCATGTCTATCTGTCCCTTCCCTGCTCAAGAATACACCATGGCTCCCCAATGCCCTCGAGAAGAGTCCTAACAGCAGCAGCAGCATCTCGTGCCCAACACTGCTGATCTGTGTCCCCTCCTGACCTCGGCCCTCTCCTCCTCCTGAGGAGGGTGGCTGTTACTGGCCCTTCTAGCAGGTGGGGAAACAGCCTCGGGAGATAAGGTCACCAGCTCAGAGTCACGGGGCCAGTGGTTGCCAGGGACAGGAGCCTGATGCAGAGTCTGTGCTCCAGACAATTGCTCTCCCAGGCTTGGTCCCGACTCTAGGCCTTTGTTTGGGCTGCGGTGACTCAAAGAAGCTCCTTTCAAGTGTAGAGCTCGGTGGCATTAAGCACTACTGTGCAGCCTTCGCCTCCATCCGTCTTCAGAACTTTCTCATCTTCCCAAACGGAAACTCTGTCCCCATAAAACACTATTCCCCCAGCCCGTGGCTCCCACCATCCACTTCCTGTCTCTATGGATCTGACTCCTCCAGGGCCCTGTGAGTGGAATCACACAGTATCTGTCCTGTGTCTGGCTTATGTCACTGAACATAATGTCCTCAAGGTTCATCTACGTTGTAGTGTGGGTCAGAATTTCCTTCCTTCTAAGGCTGAATACTATCCCATTGTCTGGATGAACCGCATTGTCTGTATCCACTCATCCGTCCATGGCCGCTTGGGTGTTTCCGCCTCTTGGCTATTGTGAGTAACGCTGCTGTGAGCCTTCATGTTCAAGTTTCAGCTTTCAGTTCTTTCCATGTGTCACAGAAAAGTTAACTTCTTTTCAACCATTTAAAATATGTAAATACCATTCTTAGCAGGCTGTATAAAAATAGCTAGTGGGCCAGATTTGGCCTGGAAGATGTAATTTGTTGACCCCAATTCTAGCTTATTTCTGTAAGTTGTTAATTTTTGGTCTCCTTGGAGGAGACTGTGGTCTCCTTGTTCGATGCTGTGTCTGAAGCTCAGTAAATAAATCTCCCGAACAAAGGAAGGAGCAGCGGGCACATTGGCCCCATTGGCATTGGCTGTCTGGGGAACTGTGTTAAGAAGAACTCTGAAGCTCTGTCCGGCCAAAGTGCCAGGATTGATTGAGGATGTCTGCTGGTGGCTCCTGTTTCACTCTTAGCATCCAAACAGCATCATTAGCAGCCCCTCTCAAGCTGCCTCAGCCCCAGGGGCTGGGGAAAGGTTATGAAATGATTCACCAACAGGGTTGCCAAGGAACCTGGTTTCTCACCTGCGATTTCAAACTGGTCAGGCATCTCAGCAGTCAACTTCTGCATCGCAATGTCTGCCACGGGTCCCAGGATCACCACTGGGCGCTTGAAATTGGCTGAGGGGCCAAGAAACAATGACAAGAGTCAGGATCCCTTTTGTGGCAAAGACTGCTAGGTTCTTGCACGACCACTTTCTACCTCCCCTGTAGTATCATATCTAGCTAGGCCTAGGGTTGGTCAGCTAAGACTACATCTGCCAGCCTCCCTTGCAGCTAGGGATGGCCATGTGACTAAGTTCTGGCCAATGGGGTGCAAGAGTAATTAATGTGTGCAATTTGGGGTTGTATCCTTCAAGGAAAGGGGTGAGACCTCCCCATCCTCTTCCCCCTTCCTGCTGGCTAGAATGTGGGTATGGGTGTACCATCTTCGACCACACAGGCAAAAAAACAAACAAACAACAACAAAAACAAGACAAAGGAGCCTAGATCCCTGAAACAGGAGCAGCCAGACCACACTCAACAGCTTACACTGGGGCTGTTACTGGAAATAGAAACTGTCTTTAATGCAGCTGTCACCTGGGGTCTCTGCTATAGCAGTTGAATCTAGCTAACTCAGTGGTCAGCAAAAGTACAACTTGAGGGCCACATTCAGCCCACTGCGTGCTTTTGAAGTTTTATTGGCACAGTCATATCAATTTATTTACGTACTGTCTCTGGCTGCCTTCCCGAAAAGTAGAGTAGTTTTAAAAGAAACTATCTGGCCCACAAACTCTAAAATAGTTACTGTCCGGCCTTTGCAGGGAGAATTCTGCTGAACCCGGACTAACTGGCAGACATTTTCACCAAAGGAAACAGGTGCAGAAGAAATCTTGGTGGGAGGAAAGTGAGTAGTCAGCCCTCTCCCTGCGCCTTCTCTTTTTCTCCTCTCCTTCCAGGCCCATCTCACTCTCTTAAAAGCTCAAGACATTCAGATTTCTAACCTTTCATTGGCTGGGGGTAGAAATGAAGTGCATGGCCTTTGATTTTTAAGTCTTTTTGTCTGGATGTTGGTGCAGCTGCTGGAGAGCAGCTGAGCCCTTTCTCCTCCTGGGTGAACAGCTAGCTCTTCCCAGCCTCCCGCAGTATTTTTTTCTAAAATCTCTGCACCTGGTTCTAATCCCTTCTTCCCTGAGACCGGGCCAGAGCTTAATCTCTCCCCTTCCTGAGTCTAGATAAGGCTGTTCTCCTCTCCTTTCTCAGGTAGGGAAAGGCTCTTTGCGCTGTGTTTGTGCTGGTGTATTTTTTTAAAATTGTGGTAAAATATACATAACATGAAATTTACTTTATTAATCTATACATTGTATTAGTCCCGTTCACAATGTTGGGGTACCTCCTGTGAGTGGATTCATAGTATTTGTCCTGGGCCTGGCTTCTTTCATTGAGCGTAATGTCCTCAAGGTTCATCTCTGTTGTAGCAGGTGTCAGAATGTCCTTCCCGTGTGTGTGTGTGTGTGTGTGTGTGTGCCCAAACCCCGGAGGATTTTCTTCCATTTTTAAGGCTGAATGATATTCCATTGTGTAGGTGAACCACATTGTGTTTATCCACTCATCTGTCCATGGACACTTGGGTGTTTTCACCTCTTGGCTATTGTGAACAACGTTGCTATGAACCTTTATGTTCAAGTTAGTTGCAGCTTTTAGTTCTTTTCATGCATCACAAAAAATTTTAATGTCTTTTCAACCATTTAAAATTGTAACTACCATTCTTAGCAGGCTGTGTAACATTTGAAATGGGGCTCATCTAAACCAAGATGTGCTGTAAAAACACACACCAGATCTCAAAGATTTAGTACAAAAAAAAATATTGTGAAATAGCTCATTGATAATTTTGTATGGATTATCTCTTGAAATATATTTTGGTTAGAGCATGTTTAAAAACATTATTGCCCTGGCTGGTGTTGCTCAGTGTTTAGAGCAGGGGTCCTCAAACTACGGCCCGTGGGCCACATGCAAATACAAATATTGTATTTGTTCCCGTTTTGTTTTTTTACTTCAAAATAAGATATGTGCAGTGTGCATAGGAATTTGTTCATAGTTTTTTTTTTTAACTATAGTCCAGCCCTCCAACAGTCTGAGGGACAGTGAACTGGCCCCCTGTTTAAAAAGTTTGAGGACCCCTGGTTTAGAGGGTCGGCCTGAGCACAAAAGGGTCACAGGTTCCCAGTCAAGGGCATGTACCTGGGTTGCAGGTTTGATCCCTGGCCCCAGTCAGGGTGCATTTGGGAGGCAACCAATTGATGTATCTCTCTCACATCCATGTTC